ATTCTGTGTTGCAATGTACGGCCGATTTTCTGATGTACGTAGGTAGTACTTGATATACAATATGTAGTACTAACGAAGATTGTCCTCCTTTCAAAATACCCCTCAGTTTGCATCTCTGTTTTCTGTTTTCCTAGGAATAAGGGACTGATACTTTAGCACTAAATTTTCATTTCTGGGCATCTATTTCCTTGTTTATGCGTAGCCTCAGCTTAGCAGAATCCATTCTTATACGAAATTATCGTGAAACTATTCTACAATGCCTTACACAATCATTATTCTCTGCATCGTCGCTTTCGAAATACTCCGAAGAATATGCATTTCCATATACACTGCATTCTTCACCCCGCTTTCCAAAGTCCCTGGTCCCTTGAGTCTTAAACTATGCGGGAGTATATGGTTATATCATACCTTGCGGGGAGAAACAATGAACATCGCCCCGAAACTTTTCAAGGAATATGGTGATGTTGTGAGGATTGGTAGATCTTTGTTCTCACAGTTCACAAGCTATGGGTGTTAATAATGAATAGGTCCAAACGAGATAATGGTCTCTTCGAAATCCGCCATCCAGAAAATTGTAGTCGAAGACGATTTTAGGAAAAGTCCGCTCTATACTCTTACTCAGGAAGATCAACATGTGAGTAATTTATTCACGGAGACCGATACCAGGGTTTATAAACAGAAGGTGTGTATCCTGATCCCCCCATTTTCTATATTGATTCCATTGAGAATCCATAGTATAGAGGCTAACGACACACATTAGAGGAGACCTTTGTCCGCCGGATTCTCCATCTCCTTCTTAAACGCAATGGAGCCACTCATGAAATCATGTGTTAATTTCATGGTTGAGGTATTAGAATCGAGATGTGTTACGGATATCGAGAGTGAGGATGGCAGGGCTGTAGTTGACATGTTTTCCATGCTTGGGAATCTAACAATGGACGTAATGTCTGCGACTCTTTTTGGCGGATCATTCGGTCTTGTCATCAATGAAGATCCACATGTGAAAAACTTATTCCTCGATCGTCTACGTAGGGTATATATCGATGTCATCCTGCCGTTCATCAAATATATTCCTTTCGTACCAAGTCCGGTACAGGAAATGGATCGCATGATTGATGAGATTATTAGAACCAGACGAGCAGAGATGGGAAGAGGTAGAACGGGAGTGGATGGAGAGAAAGCAAAAGAGAAAGAGGATTTGTTACAGATATTTTTGAATGCGAATGAGAGTGATCCAAAGGGGTTTACCGACAAACATTTAATGGAGGAAATGAGGCTTTTCATGTATGCTCCCCTTTTGATCTCACACAAGGAAACACCTAACCCTCTTACAGGATCGCCGGCAGCGACACAACGGGCACAACTTGCACTTTTACACTTCTTCTTCTCCTTAACAATCCCTCTAAACTACAACTCCTTACACAAGAGATCCTCTCTGCATTCCCATCCAAGAGTGATACCATCACCTTTGCAAATACACAAGAATTGCCATATTTGAATGCCGCGGTTAATGAGAGTATGAGACTCATGCCGATGGTTGTTTCGGGGTTACCCAGATATACCAGTGAGACGAATTGGGTCGATGGGTTTGAGATTCCGGCTCATGTATGTCTTCAATCCCCTTTCTTCCTTCTATTCTTCCACGTATCCTCAGTATCCCTAGAGCTTAGATATAACAATGAACCACAATGAGAAAACGATAATGCTAACATCAAAAACCAACCAGGTAACAACCTACGCCTTCCCCAACATCCTCCAAGTCGACCCGCGCATTTGGCCCGACGCCGATTCATACATTCCAGAGCGCTGGCTCGATGACTACAAAGGTGTACCTGTGGATAAAAAAGCATTTCTGCCGTTTTCGGGCGGAGTAAGAAATTGTATTGGACAGCAGTGAGTCTTCCTTTCCTCAGTTCTCCATCTTGGAACTCCGATTAAAAGATGAAAATACTAACGCGAAAACTTAATAGATTCGCACTTCGCGAAATCCGTCTCATCCTCGCTACGGTGATTAGAAGATTCGAATTAGACTTGATACCGGGACAAAGTCATGAATTGAGGGTTCATGCCGTGCCGTATTTTAAGGAGGGGAAGTATTTGATGGGAGTGAGGATTAGGAGGGAGTAGGTGATGGGTGAGGATGTGATGGGATGGTATGGCTGGTTTGGATTTGTATGATTGGACTGGAATTTTGAGGTATGGGTAGATAGTGTGATGGATAATATATTGGATTTGAAATTTGGTGGAGAGAGGTATTGGTAGGTGGTTGGGATTATTAGTCTATAGTTTGATTGATGAATATTGAATTTTCACAAATTCGTTGATTGAGAATCTATCGTGGCTAGGGATTTTGACCGTTTCATACAGCGAGTGTGATTGTCCTACGAGAGTTGTGGGTGTGGTATTGTTAGCACTGAGCCATGCCTAAAGCCGCTAGCTAGTTAGCTACCAAGATCATCCATCGGTAGTCGAGCACTGCCAAACACAACCTACAAGAATCAAATCTACCAAGAAATCCTGAGAATCAATAATATTTGTTGAAGTTGCATAGCACCATAGCTGCATTAAACTAGACATTTTCTGCGATTCCCGGGCCGACGTTCAAGTGTTGGCATTCGAGGGATAAGTAAGACACGGTCCATACAAGTAAGTGTACCTAGTATATTTTAAGGTGGCGATCGGCCAAGCTTGATATACGTCGCCAATCGACGATCTTTGAGCAGGGCTGAGATGGACTCGTGTGGTACAGCTTAGATGGGGTGATCTTCATTCTATAGCGGTCAGAATGCATTCCATATTGTATTCATCGTGTATGTTATGATCGGGTATCTCATGGGGTTGCTACGGGGGCGGGATGGGCTAGTTTGTGTAGACCGCATAGTATTCGCGTACATGGATTGAAACATATTGTGTAGATGAGGTGGTTGGGATGGGAGATCGAAGGGCTATGTTTCTGAGACTTGAGTGTAGACTGCGCTCATGTGAGGTATGTATGCCATGATATCCTTTATACTTTAGCTAGATATCTGAACAGAAAATCTGTTCTCTATTCAATTTGCCATTCTCTCGATTCGAGTCTAAAGTTATATATATATATTGATTTACTATCATTACAATCTTCCGCCACATAATAATGGCGTATTGCGAGGAAAAAGTCCCGTTCGAAAACAACCTACATGCTACTCAAAATCAACATGGAAATCCATTTTCAAGCTACAATACCACCTCCACAATACTCTCTGATAACGAAATTTCTTCCCAAGCACAAGAATCCACCCATCACAGTCCACCACCCGATTACTCACACCCAAAACTTCCCCGACCTGTTGCAGTACCCCAAATCGTAGCTGGAATCGGAAAGCCATTTGCTCGTATATACGCACCCGCACTCTCTGACTACAACATCAACTCGCAAGATTTTGTGGAATTCATTGACAATTTGAATGTCGTTGCCAGTGAAAACCCGCCTGTACAGATTACCGATCTAGTGGGTGATGCAATAGACACGATATCATATCACTGGGCTCAACTCACCGAAAGCGGTGTTCAAATTCCCACCCATCTAGGGAGCGCAGCCGTGACCAAGAGTAGAACTGATACTTACATGCAAAATGCCAATGCGAAATTGTTTGCTCCCCGAGGACTTAAGGCTTCGATTGCTACCATGGAAGCTATGGCTGCTGTATTACAGCTACCGCCTGATACACTGAGATTGGTAGCAGTAACTGATGAAACTACGTTTGCTGCTGTTTTGGAAAGACGGATGAGTGCAGTCAGACCATATGTGATGGAAACAACACTTGATGTTCCTCCGCCCGCTGCACAAACGAATGAAATGGCGCAGATGAGTGCGGCTCAAGTAGAGAGACAGATATTTCGAAATGACAATCGAGCTCGGAGAGAAGGGGATAAGATGACGGCGAAGAGCGATAAGCGTGAAAACAAAGCACAGAGAAAGATCGAGAAGGTAGAAAGAGAAATGAGGAGGTTGGATTTTGGAATTGAGAGATCGCAAAGAGAGCTCGGGGACTTGAGATTGAGAGAACCTGATAGGAAGGGGGATAAGACAGAGCGGAAGTTGGAGAAGGAGAGGAGGAAGTTAGAAGATGCGAAGGGGAAATTAGAGTATACGAGAGGTGAGAGGAATGAGGGCGTGAGTGATGGAGGGAGAGAAGACAGGAGAGAAGTCGAAGATAGCAGATTGAAAGATAGGAAGGCATATAAGGAGGTGAGACGGTCAAAGAAGATCTTGTGGATCCTGATTGAGAACCTTTAAGAGTCTTCTTAAGTTGAAGGAGATTCTTTTGTACACTATGCCGCTAGCTTTGGAAGAGCTCATGTTCGAATCTCATTGTCAAGTCCATCAATGAGCTCAAAGTTCCCGCTACAGATATTGTGATGTATTGAACAGCTTCGTACTCTTCTAATTTGCCCCAAGCGTTATCTGAGTTGAATGATTGAGAGGAAGCTTTGAAGATTGAAAAAATAATCCATTCTGCGTTTGAGATCATCTGAATGTTCTGGTTGTGTTTAGAAATTTTAAAGTTTCTCATAATTAACCTTAGATCATAGTCCAGGCTATTGGAAACTCTAAAACCCTTGATAACTAAGCATAAATCGATTGATATCAATACAATCATCAACCTAATCCGAACTCTTCTGTGGACCTAGTTGGCGCAATAAAAATATTCTCTGAAATAACATTTGCTTCATTCAAATACGAGGGGAGCTGATTATACTACCGGTGATGCTAGAGCTAGTGATCGGAACTCGGTGTGAAATACTCTAACCAATCAACAAGCTCTTCGTCGCGTCTCCTGAATTGTTGTACAACTCCATCTCTCATCTCATGTTAACCAGAAAAATTATTTCGAAAGAATAACATTTGAAGTATTCTATGCAGCAATTCTCATAATGGCGCCGAACGCAACTACTCAACCTCTTCCTTTTCACCCTTATTATCCTTTAGATCTCGAAATTCCACATTACCTTGCCAACCAATGGATACATTAACATTGGTCTCGATATTCGCTGCAGGATGCACTGCCATTTTCTCAAGTACTTATTTACTGGTGATGAGAGTTAGACCAAGAATCTCAACAGCTGATTTATTGACTGTTCTCTGGTTTGTTTTATGTATATCACCTTCTGAGATTTCCATCTGCCATGAATAAAATAGCTAACCCAAGTTCCCAGGCGGTTGCATTCACCTCTTCTTCGAAGGATACTATGCCTACAATTTTCGACGCATGCCACTCATGCAAGATCTCTTCGGCCAACTCTGGAAAGAGTATTCACTATCTGATTCGCGATATCAAACACAAGATGCTTTCGTTCTCTGCATGGAAACCATTACTGCAGTATGTTGGGGCCCTTCATCATTTATCCTCGCGGCCATGATTGCGACGGATCATTCGCTCCGATATCCTTTGCAGGCAATCATATCGTTGGGTCAATTGTATGGAGACGTGTTGTACTATGCGACATGTTTGTTCGATTTCTATATATTGGGGTTGGAGTATTCAAGACCGGAACCTGCGATTTTCTGGGGATATTTTGTTTTTATGAATTCTTTTTGGATTGTGATTCCTTGTAGTAAGTTTTTGATCGCGAGAGACGTGGTAAAGAGTAACTTCTAACAGCTTGTAGTACTTCTGTTCAATAGTGTAAGGGTAACTGGTAGAGCATTCTCGGCGTTGAAGAAGATGGAAAAGACATTGAAGGCAAATACAAACGGCAATGCTTCTTTGAAGAAGATGATATAATCGGAAGCATATAACCGGGCGGTTTACCTCGGCATATCATTCCAGGATTACTCAACCGTTGGATCACTCACCTATTGGTCCAATGATTTGAATCATTTGGTTATCAACCTTCTGTTTCTGTATTCACTTCGCAATGCAACCAACCGTTAACCCCACCATGGGATTACAAATACAACTTCCTTAATATAAAAACTCCAGAACTCCCTCAGTTGTCTTTCCTTTCTTGGTATCCTTCATCCTTGACTCCGTATTTCCTATCCAATCCATACCTGACCACAATTAAAAATGTCTCCATACAAAACCCCGCCCAGAATCCCCAGCGGGAACTGCATTATCAAAAGATCCGCCAACCCTATTTTCTCCACTCACCATCCGCGATGTCACGTTTCAAAATCGCATCTGGGTAGCTCCTATGTGCATGTACAGCGCGAACGACGGACACCTTACTGATTTCCATCTTGTGCATTTGGGTGCCTTTGCTTATCGCGGAGCGTCTCTCACTATTATTGAAGCTACTGCTGTCCGCCCGAAGGCCGAATCTCTCCCGGTGACGCAGGCTTGTGGGAAGATGCACAGATAGAGGGGTTCAAAAGGGTAGCGGATTTTGCACATGGCCAAGGACAGAAAATCGGAATTCAATTGGCTCATGCGGGAAGAAAGGCTAGTACGTTGCCTCCTTGGATGGGACCTAGAGGAAAGAGTGCTGTTGCAGAAGAAAAGGATGGAGGATGGCCTAAGAATGTTAAGGGAATGAGTGCGTTGAAATGGGGTGAAGGTTATGCGGAGCCTAATGAAATGTCACTTGAGGACATTCAAGATGTCATTGATGGATTCCGTGATGCGGCTAAGAGAGCTGTGGCAGCGGGAATTGATGTGATTGAAATTCATGGTGCTCATGGATACTTGTTGCATTCCTCTTTGAGTCCGGTCACCAACAAACGAACCGATCAATATGGAGGAAGTTGGGAAAACAAAATTAGAATGCTGACCGAGACGATCAAGGCTGTGAGAAGTGTGATTCCAGAGGGAATGCCTTTGTTGCTCAGAATCAGTGCTACAGAGTGGTTAGAAGATGTTGAGAGCTGGGATATTCCAGATACTATCAAATTGGCAAAGTTGCTTCCAGCACTTGGTGTTGATTTACTCGACGTCAGTTCGGCAGGTAATTCGCCAACCCAAAAGATCGGAATGCATACAAATTACCAGATTTCTATTGCTGGGGAGATCCGTGCAGCGTTGTTTAAAGAAGGGATCAAAGACCTGAAGATTGGGTGTGTTGGTATGATCACAGAAGCTGAGGCTGCAAAATCTCATTTGGAGGATGAACCAACTACATACCCCAACGCAGGAGAAACAGTAGATGTTAAAGATGAACAAGGAAAGATCGCAAAGGCCGATATCGTTTTGGTTGCTAGACAATTTATGAGAGAACCTGAGTGGGTTTTTAGAGTCGCTTATAGATTGGGCGTTGAGGTTCAATGGCCTGTTCAGTATTTGAGAGCAGGCTTTTTGAAGGGCTCTGTTATTTAATACAGGATAGATGGGTGGTGCTCATAGACATAGAGGTCCTGTGATATATATAGATCGCTCTTATAGAAATTCTATCTCAGTCTACAAAGTTTGAAGTGTATGTGTATAAAAGTCTCTTCCTCCCACTCAAGGTTACACTTCAACGTCGAGAGTTCAATATCGCTTCTCACTAATCTCAGTAATCATTCCGCACAATGTTGCCAATAGTCTGGATTGCAGTCTAACAATATAAAGTCTTGAAAATTTGAAAGCAATTGCAATCTTACAATAGTTCAATGTTCCAATCAGATAATTTGAATGTTCTAATTGGTTTGGAAATTTGGTAATCTTCATTGTTGAACTGCAGTTCGGACTATCAGACACCCTGATTCCGCAGCTTATAACCTCAGCATCTTCTCTACCTCCTCAAACCACAAAATTGACCTTCTCCCCCTTCAGATACCCCTCGAAAATCTCAGCAATAGCCTTAACACATTTCTCCTGGCTATCCCTCCCAAACCAAGCCACATGAGGACTAACAATCAAATTTCTAACTCTCTCTTCTCCCTCCCCCTAACCAACGGACTTCCTCTCCTCTCCACCGGTTCCCTTTCAAAAACATCCGTCGCCGCTCCCAAAATCTCTCCGCCATCCAGCGCCCTCGCCAAATCGGCTTCATTTACCACTCCGCCGCGGGCTACATTCACGAGAATAGCATCGCGACGCATCAGCGATAATTCAGGCGCGGAAATGAGATTCTGAGTTTCCGGGGAGAGAGGACAGGTGAGAATAATGGTGGTGCATTGAGTGAGGATGGAGGAGAAGGCGGTTCGGCCCGCGCGTGCTTGCGCTTGGGGAATGGATTTGCGCTCGGAGAGAAGTACTTTCATTCCGAGAGCGGTACAGAGGTTGGACATTGCAAGTCCTGTTTTTTGGGTTAGTCGTTTTTCTCTCTCGTTTAGGCAATTTTGTTTGTGAATACACAACTCTTGAATTTACGAAACTCCTAATCCGGAAGTCGAGATCCCCGCCATCAAGCGATAGGAGGTGTCCTCGAAACAAAACCAAGAATCACAAAACTCCCCATCCCATTCGTCAGAAAAGTAAGAGAAGAGAAAAGAGAAAAAATCACCCACCAATCTTCCCACCGCCTACAATTCCCACAACCTCACTTCGACAACTCCTCGCGCCGCCACCTTCCCAAGTATTCATTCCCAGAATGCCCGTTCCCTGACTCGCCCACTGTTCCGCCCTCATCGTCCACTCATGCATACTAACCACATCTCTCTTGACCGCAAAATAAAGCGCCAATGCGTGTTCCGCCACGGTTTCCGTATTCGTGTCCGGCATGTTGGAAACTTGAATGTTGTTTTCCGCGCAGTAGGCGAGATCGACGTGGTTTGTGCCGACGGAGGTGATGATGATGAGTTTTAGTTGGGAGGGGGGGAGGAGAGAAAGGGTTTCGCGGGTGAGCGGACAGAGGGAGGTGAGGAGGATGGTGGCGGGGAGGATGCGCGCAGGGATGAGGGGAGGGGCGTATGTGGGTAGGGAGTGTAGGTGTGTGGGGCAGGAAAGAAGTTAGAAGGGAGAGGATGGTAGTTGGAGTCTAGGTAGACGATGGTTTCGCCGGTTAGAGGAGGCGGAGCGGACATCTTGGAGGAGATTGGGATGGGATTGTGATTGTGATTGTGATATCACGGGGAACGATGATAGTTGTGGGAGCGGAGTATGTTGATGGAAAGATTTTTATGATGTGGGGTGGAAAATGCGGGGCGTGAGGGGAAGATAAGATAGAGGATAGATGAGGAATCAAGGAAGATTGCAAGAAATTAAGTGAAGATATTGATGCACATGCGATCAACGAGCACGCACGTATGCCCCACACCGATGAAACAAGTCAAAAACTTTCCCAATAACCTCAACAGACTTGGCGCAAATCCTGTGAACAATGTGATATTTGTCATTTGTGTAATTCCCATTCACCAACCATCTATAACATGTTTGGCGAAAGGTCTCAAAAGATAGGACCGCACGTAACAAACAGGACATGTAAGTAGTAACTGTCACTTACCTAAGAAAACAAATCAAGATGAATGTTACGTCTAGATGCAATCTAGAATGGTAAGCCAAAGCCTAGAGTTCGTCAACAGTGCAGAGCCTAAGTACATGGACATTGGACATAATAATGGGGTGAAAACATCCTAACTTCTTCGGAAGAATGGGAGTTTCGCTTGCAGTGTAATGATGTAATTGTTAAATGCAGTCTCCCTTTGCGGTCCGCTGCTTGCTCGCTTAGCATTCAATCATATCCTCTATACGTAGGAGAAAACAAAGGCCAAAGTTGATCACCCTTATAAATTCTACGATAAATCAATCATCCAAAAATTATAAGAGACCATGATATTAAACAAATCCTCAAATAATCTTTAGTTATAGTACAAATTCAATTTTCAATTCTCTGGATTGATACGGAACAATTAGATTATTGAAGAGCTTCGCTAATAATCAATTCCGGTCTGTTTTTTTCTCCTACGAACAGAACCTTGACCTTTTACGGGACTTGATTCCTGATTCTCGCTCATCTCAATGACAATCAAGACCATGGCATTATTATATTATTTCTAATATTTTAGACCTCTTTTCAGGCATGAACTTTGTTTTCATGTACAAATCACATAGTCAGATAATCAGTCTACTTCATATCTAAATGATGAGCATACTAGTCAAAACCCCCATTTCATTTCACTATCAACGACACCTATTTCTCGGATTACCTCACTTCATATCACGAGACCCTCGTTCCCAGATTCCCCGTACTCAAAAACCCTTTATTCCCCATAGCGCCCCGCCACCCTATACTCAACACGCCAAATATCAATCTTCCATCCACAATTTCGCTTGCTTTTCCCCCCTCTACACTATCCGCGACTTCCTCATCATCCCCAGTAACTTTTTCTTCAACCAAAAAGCAAACCTGTCGAATGTCTCCTGGTGCTAATACCGGTCTCTCCAATTCCACATCTCCTCCATTTTTCTTTTCTGAATCGGAAAGTACAATCTCCCAATTTAAGCTTGTAGCATTGAATCCTTTGGTAGTGGTCAAATGAACTAAAGTCAATGTAATAGGGTTATCTTCTGTGATATTCTCTAATTGGGCTTCCAATGCATATTTCTTGGATGCAGAGGTATTCAAAGAGGTAGATTTTGGAAAGGGCAATGGTCCGATTTTGGTACGGACGACGAGACATCCTTTGCAGATGAATTGATATAGTTTGCGAAATGTGCGAGTGCGTGGAGGAGAGGACGGAGACGATTCGGTATAGGTTACTGTGACAGCAAGAACGTGGGAGCCTTCTTCTTTGAGATCAAAATGGAGGACCTTCTGTAATGAACTCTGAGATATGATTTCTGCTTCCGAGGTTTCTTCCCCTGAGGTGGTAGAGACTTGTGGGGAAGACTCAGGACCGGAAAGAGGGAGCAATATAGGAGTTGGTGTAGAAGGGATCTTCATTTCTGCAGTGAGAGTGATATTTGATATTATTTTGGTGGTATTGGGCGAGGTCGCGATGTCCGGAGAGGTGTGGGTTTGAGCTGGTTGGGAAACAGGAGGAGGGAGCTCATTATTAGCGCAAAGAGTACAACTGAATGTCTCTCCTACATATGCAGATCCAAAAGCTGGAGGAAGTGTGAGAAGAGGAGAGAGAATAAAGTTCGAAGGGGTGGGAGATGGGTATGAGAGAGAGGCTGAAGGGCGGGAAGGCTGAGATTTAAAGGTGGTGAAGGAGATGGTGTGGGAAGTGGATGTTGAATTGAAAGCGATGGACGGGAAAGTCTGTTGTTGCAATTAGTATTTAAGGCAACTTTCATAAAAAAGCAGAGTAAATCGCAAGAGAGAACCAAATACTACATACCTTAAAACCTTCAAACTGACAGAATGAGGTTCCTTCACTCCGTCCAAGGTCGAGGTAGTCCGTTGATGCGACATATTTAAGGATATATACGTGTCTCGTGCTTATCTCATGGAAATCAACGATCAATTCTTAATCATACAACGAATATAACCGTCACAAGCTTTTTAGTTGTCTGTTGTAAGAATCCTGTTCTCAATTGTAGGTTTTGAAGTCTAAATCATACAAGGTCTAGAATCGAACAAGGCTGAATGTCCATACAGACGTTCGACTATTTACTGCCATCTTCACCGCCTCCTTATCGCTCGTTCCTTACCTTATCGATACACCGCGGCTAAAGTTTCACATCCTTTCACTCGTCATCACATTTTTTTCTCACATTTTCACTCAAAATCACGAATATCGATTCTCAAATCCCATCAGACCAATATTACTCTATAATTCCCTGAAATAAAAATGGGCGACGCCGGCCCTTCGATACAGGAGACTTTTCAGAAGTCTACTCAAGGAATTCCATTAGCTCGCTCCACAGGACTTATGCTAATCCTCGATACTCCCAAAGGTAATGATGATAGGTATCGATACTATATCTACGACACTCCCACCTCACACCTTATATAAACAACCATTTACGTCGAATTGCAACTTCGTTCTTCACAAATCAAGTATCACTGATTCCCATTACAATAGGCCGAGGAGTATTTGCCTCTAGAGACATCCCCGCCCGTAGCGTGCTAGAAGTATGCCCAGTATTAGTTTTAGATCCCCGTGAGAATGAAAATCACATAAAAAAGACGGATTTATATCATTATACGTAGTGAGTTAGCCTGGTAGCGCTTTTGTTTGTTGATACGAATCTATGTAGACTCACTGGTGAATAAGTCTTGCTGATAAAGATGGTTTCTAGTAACTGGCCATACAAACCTAAGAGTCATGTCGAGGGCTCAAATGGGACGACAAAACCACCTACCACCACCCAAGCCGTGATACTTGGGCTAGGTAGTATGTTCAATCATTCAACATTACATCAAAATGTTGGATGGGAGAGAGATGTTCAAAATCTCCTCATGACCTATACTGCACTAAGGGATATCAAAGAAGGAGAGGAATTATGCATCTCATACGGATCAAGGTTGACATTCAAGGACACTGAGGCAGATGCGCTGAATGAAGTTGAGGACGAGAATGAATTATTAAGTAGAATTGAGTTGATTGATTGACCATTACTTTCCCATTTTCAAATGCATAATGCTACCTATAATTGAGAAACTTTTCAATGTTCTGTTTGGAGAGAGACATGACCCTTCTGGGCCTGAATGCTCTCAATGTACTCCAAAAGATGTAAGTACAAGTAAGAAGTATCCATAAAGTTCGGCTTTCAAGACCTAGAGCAATTTAAGATCCTCATAAACACAAAAATTAAGAGAAAGCATTTAAAATCCAGGTGGAGGTGGAACGGCGCTATAGCCGTTATTACTTCCTGGTGGTGGACCTGCTGGTGGGGGAGGGGCCTAAATTCTCAAGGTTAGTTTCTCTCAAACTATAATTTGACTGCCCCTTCCCATCGAGGAGAAGGGCAGTCTTGCAAACCTAACTTCTAAAAAAGAACTCGGTTAGGAATATATGAAGTGAGGAAACAATATACATACCGATCCACCAGGTGGTGGAGGTGGAGGTGCCTCGTTGGGAGGTGGTGGAGGACCTGAACCTGGAGCACCTTGTTGCTGTTGATATTGAGCCATGGCTGCCATGTACTGCTGATAATATTGAACATATGCCTCATACCCACCATATTGAGCATAAGGATCAGCATTTGAACCATAGTATTGAGCAGCTTGGGCTCCATAGTCTGCTGGGGTTGAAGGACTGGCTGCATTCGGAGTGTTGGGAGCTGGTGATTTGTTGTAGTTATTGTATCCACCACCGCCACCATACGAGTTAGACCTGTCTGGGGCGCGATCACCGTAGCCTCGCTCTCCTGAATAACCGGTTTGACCGCCATAACCACGTTGTTGAGGTGGACGAGCTTTGAACTCTTCGTATTGCTCTCGAACATTCTTGAGAAGATCCTCACAGAGCTCTTTAGCTTTTTGTACCTCGTTCGGATCCGGGCCACTAGAAAAACGTCAACCAAGTGCCCGAGCAAAACTGAACTTACGAACTTACGCGACATGAAGATACATGTCTTCATCACTCTCACGACCGGTGCCATGTTCCATGAAACCAGAACCACGTCCCTTGATTTGAACACGGCATCTAGTTTCCTGTTGAATGTGCTTTACGTAAGCACCACCGTGGCCAACAACTTGGGCACGGAGGTTAAAGCCTTGAATAGGTTCAAAATCAATAGGAATCTTCTCCTCGGGCCATTTGCGCTAAGTCTTCTGTCAGCAACCAAAATTCATGTTGTCTTAAAGGAAACTTACTCTGCCAAATTCATCTCTCTCAACTTGCTCAGGCTCGCGTCTACGGAACCGACGTTCGTCAACTAAGTTAGGGAGCTCCTGCTTCATTAGTTCTTCGATCTTTTGAACGGCTTGCTCGAGGCCTCGCTTTGTTTGACTTGTAACGTGGAGATACAATGGGGGATTCTAAGCATATTATCAGCTCGCTTTCATCAATATCCAAGTTCATGAATTGACTTACAGCAGCCGTAGCCATGCTTTTATCTGGGTAATAATTTCCTCGCGTGGTGACATCTTGAAAAGTCAATATTAAAATCTCTAAAACAAATGGTGAGTTGTAGGTATTGCGTACCAGCGCCGGTTTCTTCCTTAATCTAAATGTCACGCAGCGGAGGTCAGCAGATGCCAAAAGGGTATATGTGTATGGTGCTATTCGCGCTTCAGGTAAGCTTGAAAGTCTCCCCACACAATGATGATTTTACTTTGAAAGGGGTAGGAGAAAGTATAGAGATGATTCATGGCTAGACCTATGAAGAAAGCCTGATGTATCAGTGGAGTATAACACAAGGAGTATTTACCATCTTTTGAGTAGAACCTTTAGTCAGTGTATAACGGTTTCGCAAATCGTTGACTTCGATGTCTTTGATATAATCGCCATCTGCGATATACATCTCACCATTTATATTGCTCGCGCTGTTACCTGCTCCGGCTCCTGGAGATGCTGACTTTCCGACTGGACTTTCGGCTGCGCGAATAGGTGGCACATCGGCATGTTGAATACCTTTCTTAGCTTGGATTTGTGCATTGATTTTTGCAGCAGCGGCAGCTATAGTATATTCAATTAGCAAGTATTCACATAGCATAGTTCCAGGATGGTTACGTACCTGCTGCTGCTGCTGGATCTGCACCTCCTTTCTTTGCGGATTCCGGAGCCGGGCTACGAGAAGAACGACGGCCAAGGGGAGACCTGCTTCGTCTTGCATCTGCCTTTCTCGCAGGTGGTGATCGCGAGCGTCTATCGAACCTTGAGGTTCTCTTCGGCTCAGGCTCCTTTTGATCGAAGCGCGAACGCTTTGCTGTGCGACGTTCAGTATCATCCATATTGATAATTAGTGATGCTTATAGAGGTTGAAGTAAATTTTGTTTGTAGTAATATGAGATGTGATAATGGGTCTCGAATTGTAAACAGATAACTGACACAATTGATTGTTACAATTGCTAGTACCCAGTAAATTTATGAGGCTGAACTTTATTTCGAGTTTTTGTGCTGGTTGTTCGGTGACAAGGATTTAGTGCACCGACATAAACCCCAAGACACTAAAATATCTGGGGTCAATACAAAGATCGGCAAATGCCGTATAGAAACAAATTCAACCTTTTTGTGCGGTATCGGGGCTTGCTTGAACCTAGACCGTCACTTCTTCTGAGTCAAATTGTTTAATCCTTCTCAGTTTTTTGAGATAGGAATAGAAGCATTAATAACCTCTCAAGAAGTATTGGATAATTTCAATTATTCAATATGGCTTCACGCAAAGCTATTCTCTCACTCTCTGGAGTGAGGGCAGCAATCCCTAAACGCAGCACTTCTATTACCCCTCGACAAATTCAAAGATATCAATCCTCTTCTACCTCAGCGCTGGAGTATAAGGCGCTTCACCGTCGCATTTCACCTCTTCCTACATCCGATGCTCCTCCAGCATGGTCAGCACAAGCAGCTGTTTCCAACATTCTCTACGAAACCCCGCCCCCTCCGCCACTCCAGCAAAACGCCACGTCCTTAACTGTCTCGTACAAAACGAACCCGGTGTTCTGTCCCGCGTTTCCGGTATTCTCGCAGCTCGTGGCTTTAACATTGACTCCTTGGTCGTTTGCTCTACTGAAGTCGAAGACTTGTCTCGCATGACAATTGTTTTGTCCGGTCAAGACGGTGTTGTTGAGCAAGCTCGTCGCCAATTGGAAGATTTGGTTCCAGTCTGGGCTGTTCTCGATTATACTACTTCGCCCCTCGTACAGAGAGAATTACTTCTTGCGAAAATCAATCTTCTCGGTCCAGAATACTTCGAGGAATTGTTGGCGCATCACAGAGAAATTACTGCTAGTGATCCTGAAGCTTTGCAAGGTCAAGATGATTGGGCTACAAAACGATTGGCAGAATTGAAGGATAGCGATGATTTCCACCCCGTCAAATTGGCCCAAAGTCAAGCTTTAAGACATAAGCATGAGCATTTGAAGTCAATTACATATTTCACACATCAATTTGGAGGCAAGGTCTTGGATATCAGCACACACAGCTGTATTGTCGAGGTGTAAGTTGATAGACTGTTCGATTTTCTTGTGTACATGTACTAATTATACGTTTTCTAGCTCCGCCAAACCAAGTAGAATCGATTCATTCATGAAGTTGATTGCTCCATTCGGAATTCTCGAGTCTGCACGCACAGGTCTTATGGCTCTTCCTCGATCTCCATTATATGGTCCTAACGAACAGGACAACTTGGTGAAGGATGCTGAAGAAATTGTTGATGCAAGCACTTTACCTCCAGGATAGATTTGATGATATGTGGTTCAATGGATATGGAGTTGGCGTCACAAATTATCTAAAATAATGGAGGTTAAGATTTATTTCTGCATGCAATTCTGTGTATCATTTATACATCAATAAAAATTAAAATAAACGACGATGTTTCCAAACGCCAAATCAAAATGCGCCTAATGACCGCAGTTATTAATACTGCTCCCAATCTATGATGTAACTCATACAATCTTGAGCATTTCGCTGCTCAAAGTCTAACATGAGCACCAATCCCTGTGCCCAAATACCAGATTGTCTCTGTCCATTGACCAAGCCGAAGACCAATTGTGCCCTTCGCATCTAATTTTAGAGTGCCACCTAATGCTCTCTCTACTGCGTCATATCCTACCCCATCAAAAGACCAGTCGACGGGCAATTTAGGCGATTCGCTTGCACCAGGGGGTACTGCGAAAGGATAGTCGTAAACAATCTTGCCAACTGTTTCGGTATGGTTATAAAATGCTTCAGCATCAATAGATTCAATGTATATTGTGCTATGTCGTAAAGGTGAGAGTAATGTAAACTGTGCTGTTGATGAGAAGAGATGGAAAGTTGCATCATCAATAAAATGCGGTTTTCCATCATCAGGACCCTTATCCTTCCCAGTCCCAGGCGTCGATAATCGAGGTGTAGGCATCGTGACTGCAAACTTGCCAAGTGCCTTTCCGAGTTTTGGTTGGTATGGAATAGATCCTTCATGAGTTTCGAAAGTAAGAGTCGTATTGAAACCAGAGACATATTGCGAAATTAATTCCCGACCAATTTTGCGCCCCTTTTCACCACCGAATGTCATAGGATCCCAAGTAGCTTCAACAAGAACATTCGTATTATTCCCTCGCGAGACGCTGATATCGCGCACCGTGGCATCACCGATGATTGAGCCGTTATTCAAGATATGGATATTCACGTAAGGAATTCGAGCAGTGTATTCAGTTGGATTAGTGAAGTTGATTTTCGCTTGGAGATTGATTGATGTCCGGCCTGTGTTGAATATCTTCAAGTCGCCAACCTTGAGGTTGAGTTGGTGGAGATCACCGCCCGTAGAGATCGCTGCAATCTCGTCAGCTTCAGTGCAGTTGCGCTGAAATTAATAGGCCCCTAACGTTTCAAAGGAACAACTCCTTCCGCGGGTAAATCTTTAATAATGAAATCACCTAGCACAGTAGATATTTCAACTTCGACCAAAGCATCAATCTTAAGACTAACAGCCTTCCCACCCAGATAATAATCAGCCACAAGATCTCCAAATACATCCTCGTCTGTGATTTCTAGAGGCGCATTTTTGATATGTGATTCGATCTTCAAAGAAGCATCGCCTTTATCATTAACTCGTTTCGATCGAGCTTCCTGCCATTTTTGTAGGTTTAGCACACCTAACTTATCTGTCTTGTAGAATACATCGGCTTTCGCACGAACTTTCGAAACGTCAAGGCTAAAATTCATCTCCTTAGGCAAAGCTGCTAATACCATTATATCCCCAGAAATTCTTGGATTTGACTCGGGTGTTCCAGGTTCCGCAAAAGGTCCGGGTAAGCTGAAATCTGTGTTTGTGAGAGAAAAGTTCTTGATCAATTGATCGAATGTATGACCTGGGAAAGGTACTGGTACTGTGACGCTTGATATGATTTGAGTGATCCAATCGGGAGTCTCTGGAGATGGTGCATTTGAACCTCGAACAAAAATGGTAGTATCGTTGCCGTGAATGTAGTCACTGAGAAGCAGATCCAGTGGTGAGGAATGTGAATTGGGGCAGGTTTGCAAAAGACTTTCAGGTAGATCCCGAACGATACCTGCGACGTCAAGTGTAACATCTGAATATGGCTCAATCATGATGTTATCAGTAGTGGCATCAGCGAGTTGAATATGTGGTTCGTTCGCAGCGCAATTCGAAACTAGTATATCGAATCGCATCGGAGGAATACTCAACCTTATTGGGTAGCTATTTACCAAGGATAGCGAGACTTCAGCAGCCATTCCACGATGGCCATCTTTGGAGAGAGGGATCTCCTTGAAGTTGAGACGAGTTATGTTGTACTTGGGAATAGCTGGGATATCATTGCCTATGGGTCAGTTAGCAACTTGATTTCAAAGTGCAAGTTTTACATTGAGAAAGAATCTAGGAAGTGGTGACTGCGCTCGCGGACAATTTTTTGGATACACCTATAAACTATAGATCGTGTGTATATTGCCCGAAATCCAGCCACGAACTTCCTTCAGCCGATACTTTTCTCCCCAAAGTACAACGACGCAAAAGAACGATAGAGAGATTGACCTTCAAAAATCATTGACTCGGATATACTCTGAGATCCAAGCGGAAGTAACCCTGATTTCAATGTGACATCAGCCTTGCCTAATACCCGCAACTGTCCCAAGCGACCCTCTAACCAGTCATTGGCAACCTGTCTTAATCCGTCGACGCTTCCTGCTTTAAGATCGGTAACGAAGTCGATTGGCGTGACAACACCATTCTGGATATTTACCACCACCTTAGGCACAACAGCGGTTCCGATGAGAAGATTATCATATTCTGGAAGATAGACCTCGAGGTTCGATTCCTGGCTTTCAACCTCTTTCGCGATCCATGTACCAAATCTTCCAATATTCCTAACAGCATTGTTCTTGACCCTTGAAGCATCCATCTTAAAGTTTACTTGTACGCGAGCTTTCACTCCATTGGCGGTGAAGCTGTCTATCGATAGGTTCGTAGGCTCGATAACAAGAGATTCTTTGGCATACTCTTCAACGATTGCAGGCGCGAAAAATGCACATATCAGAATGATGATGCCAGCCAAAAACAACATGGTGACAGCGAAAATCGTTGGCCATCGCAAACCTTCATTGGCAGACTTGCCAGAGTCTCGATTATGGATAGAACGTAGAGATTCTGCCGCTGGCGATACGATTCGACCATCCTCATCTTCGGGCTCTTCGCCATCGTATCGAGGAGTATCATCAGAGTGCGCTAATAAGGGTGATGATTCGTGTGAGTCGCCAGAATTGTCCAAGTCGTGTGAATTGACTGAACGTTGAGAACGCTTCGACGATGGTCGTTGCTCTGGACTGAGCAGGAGTGGAGACCCCGCACCGTCCGACATGATGGAGATAAGGATAATTGATTAAGTTGGTGCCGGTATGTATCACTCGACGCACCGCGCGAGGATGGATCTAATGATATCAACAAAGTGATATTATGTTTGATATCTTGAAGATGATGAAAGTAATGTTTGAGGTGTCTTAGATATTGAGAGGCTGAGCGGGTGTCGTAAGTCTTGTATACGTTCCTGGGGAGTGTAAGCAGCCGCCACACCGTGCGTTAGCTTAGAACGCCTTATATTAATTGATTGGGCCAACGTAGTAGTATATTTATGCATGCATTGTGCCTTTGTACCTGAAAGTTATGAATTGATGCCAACAACCTTGTCAATGTCTCAGAAATATGTATACACTCGGAGACACTACCCAAGCAAGATACAGCATGTCTTCATCCTATCTTTATATTGCACCAACAAGCAAGAGCACGACACGTTCGTCCTACTTCGTATTGATAACATAACTGGACCAGCGTTCTGGCCAATATCCTTATTAGCCATGCCTAGGATCGAGTATCTAGAAGATATCGTATCAACAAGTGTATGATCATTATCAGACATTCTAAATTTGGGGTCAGCTCTCTCACGTGAGATTTGGAACGACGAAGTACCTAACTGACGTACCTAACTGACGTACCTACCTGGTACGTACGTGACATGGACAAAATACTGATGCTATGTTCATAATCATGGTATCTGATGCAAGTGCAGAGTCCTCAATAATATACAAGAATGAAGATTTACTCGTCCTTGGTTTTGTATCGCAGTGGAAGTCTAATTACATGTAGTGAAACGACGCGGTCTAAGTACAACGCGATTGTTCAATGCGGGGATATATCCTGAATGACACTTGGTTTCTGGTAGTTTCCAGAGCGCTTCTTCGAAGACGTCGACTAATGAATTTCAAATCATGAAAGATGTTCAAAGGCTCCGCGGCGTCGTCGCGATATCCTCTGCAAAAAATCCGCGGCTGTCATAGAATAGTCTTGCCTTTCCTAAGGTTTGTGCTAGTATCATCGAGGATTTAATCATCAAGTTCTTCAAGTTCTAGAATTCTTTCCTCAAATGGCCCCCAAGCTATTGCTCCTTGAAAACTTTCCGATTCCAGCTTTCCATTCACACACATTGAATGACCAGTGGTTTAATGTCAACATTAGTCACTGCGAAGACTTATGATTTATTGATTTTATGACTCGCAACAACATGTATTGACTCTTCGGAGTACTCTAGTATGCTTAAATAGATACAACTTAACTTATGTCTACTTTCTTCGCTCTCCCCGTACCAAATCATACTACAGTCCATCAAACCCACACAACACAAAAACAAAACATCAAGGCTTACTTTGATCGTGTCTGCTGTCTCCCCCGTCACAACAGTTTTCTCTAGCCGATCAACATTTGCCTCAAGTCATCACGCTTAAAATTTGCAGCAGGCATCAAACTAATTTAGGTCTGTCTCAATATTCCGCGAATTCAGTTCAGTAGGATCCAAATCTGCTTAATAGGTAGTTCCTTAGACTAACCAAGTAGTCATTGGAGACATGGAATATACTGCAAATCACAATACTCATATTCATAATTTCAAGTTCCATATGCGCACTTACGACTCAAGAGGACTCGAGCATCCCGGGAGGGCATTAATTCCAGGGTGGCGTCGACAAGCTCAACTGGAGTTCCTTCTTCGAATTATCAAATCTTACAATTTAGAACTTACGCGCTACAAATTCAGTGGCGATGTAGAGGTTTTAGATATCGAAAATGATATGTACGAGAATATCAAGTTATTAGGAAATGATGGATATTTACCTACAGATATTGTCAAGTTAGCGCATCGCCTTCAACGTGAGGCTCGGCCGACAAGAGGTATTTTTCGGCTGTTTCAATTCGCTTTCCAGGTGGTTACTGGCTCGGATTTCGATGTACGTTTATTGAACAATAGGTGGTCCGATAAAATGGCCGCAAAAAATCGCATCGATGGTTTAGACAGCAAGGTTTTGGATGAACGTAATAAGGCCAGATACAATGCTCTCGTCGATATGAAAAATCACTGTCAGCCAGATCGCGGCCAAAACGACAACGCAAACAGCTTGAAAGAACTACTTGATTGGGCAGAAAGAGACATGAAAAATATTCAGGGTAGGGAATCGCTAACCTTGGATGCTGCAACGATTAGAAAAGAAGCCGAAGAGCTCCGGAAGCGATTGCAAGCTTACAAACGCGAAGATGCAGAGAGACTTCAGGCGGAATCTGGTACGATCTATGAAGGTGGCACAGAATACTGCTAACTATATACAGAGCGTAGAGCTTGTCGGTAGTAAGCTTCTGGTGTCAGAAGATTATTGGGGTATTAATGAAGCTCGAAGTTGATATTTTTTCAATGGTGGATGACTGGGATTCGACTTTTGCATGACTTTGATAGTATTATTCCATAGCTAAATGAAAATTATCCCTAGACCTAATGGCGAGACTATGAATTGTCTGTTGTCAGTAGGCGATTTTAGTGACTCACGTTAGAATAAGATTCGGCACTTAAACACTGGTCGGCTTTCATCATTTAGCTTTGCTTGGCACACTCTAGTGGATAGCACTCAACCTTGAAGACTGATTAGCTCCATTTTGTTTAAGGGGCGGATAAATTAGAGGCTGATGACTTGATAGATTTGTGTAGAATGGAAACGAGGGTGGAGTAGATTTCAACGATTTGCGCATCCATTTGATGTAAACATAAAACTGCATGCCTCCTGTGGCAACATAATGATTTTAACGCAATGATATCAAGAATCAGAATAGCATCAAGTTTCAGATCTGTTCTTTCAAACATTACCTCTCATGCAGAATGTAACTACGAATCCCCATTTTCAAACCCACCATCGTATTACCGAACAAAATCTTCATTATCAACCACGTCACAACCCTTCGCTATCGGGGAACTACTTCATGGACATTCTGGCCGAACATATCAAATAGAAGAAATCTTATCCGAGAGGTTAAAACCCATGCTATGTGTACATCGAGCGAGGTAATACAAATACTCACAACCTCATTAATATTCTATCATTCCACAAATCACAAAGCTCATTCTTATATACAGCGCAGAAGGGAAGAAATTCGTCATCAAAAACTGTCTCAAGGGAGATTTTGAATATCAACAGAAGCTTCAGGCACCTTTGGCTTCACATCCCAATTTACGGACAATTATGGATACCATTCCAGAGTTTGAACTGTTTGTATATCATTTTCTCAAGGACAATCTTCTTAAGTTCTGCTAGAGAAATTTATCTGTAGACTAGAAAGGGTATTTTGAAAAGTTCTCTGACTAGATTAGCTGAGATACATGATAGATCCATCATTCATGAAGGTATGAAGATCTTTTATGTTGTCCATCGTAAGAGTATAATGGCGTGACGTAAGGTCAAGAATAAACATCATGACTTGACAGATATCGAACCAAACAATATTCTCATCGACTATGAAGAGACAGCTGACAAGCTTCTTCAAGTCAAAAGCATCCGCGTCTCGGATCCGGAAGATCCTATTATTCTCTCTCCTGGTAAGGGAATGGTTGGCGGCAAACTCGGCAACCAATTTTGGCGCAGCCTGAAATCTTGGTGCAAAGCAAAGCAGAGCGTCTCTTCTGACATCTTTTCCATAGGTATAGTTGCCATCTATATTATAGATAAACAGATGATATTTTATGACAGTTTAAGAAGCGAAAATTTTGTCGATGGCGAGGCATGGAACCAAATTATAATGAGGCATATCTCATTTTTCTGGGTTCAAGATAACTATCTGGCATTTCTAGATCATATCGGGGAGGATAATCCGTTCTTCGATCGTGTCATTGATATGGTCAATGACTTTAACGGTCCGATGACACCTGTCCAGAAATGGTCGTATCTTGATGCAGAGCTTAGAGATCTGGTTGTGAATATGACGAGATTGGATCCTGCGAGTAGTCTCAGTGCAAGGGAGGCTTTGCAACATTCGTTCTTTGGTGATGACCGTAAATATTAGTCGGTAGCTAGCGCTGAGGCAGGAGTCAATTTCGATACAAGGTTCAAAATAATATCATGAGACTCTGCAGGAGGGTGAATTGATTCTATGTAGGCACTATCTGATCGATTGGATCATAATAGATCTTTCTCAAGAGTTCCAGAGCTACCGAGATGCTAGTTTCTTGTTGTCTTGAAGAGTCTAGATGATAGGTTTGGCCAGTCGAACCGACCCGGCCATTACTAAATTTCGCTCGAGATAAATACTGTCGAAAGGAGTATCATAAACCAAAGGAGACCTTGACTTCATTCATACTCTCCTTCTGCAATTTATGCTGTTCCACAAACTTTTCCTTGGGATCACGGTTCTCTAAACTCTTGAACGTTTTTGCAAACCTCACTAAGATATAAACACATTCATTGAGCACCATTTTCTGTGCAGAAAAAACTCGATCTCCCTTAGGAAACGGTATATACGCCTGAAGTTGCGCTTTTTCAATCTTCTCCCATCGCTCTGGTCTGAACTCATCAGCATCCGCGCCCCATATATCCTTATCCAAATGCATAGATCTAAATACGTAATTGACTTCGGTTCCACGAACAAATAATACTGGATCTTTTCCATCTGATCCTCCTCCAGTAGATAAGATGCAATCTTTGCCACATGATCGTATACTCCTTCCGAAAAGTGCAAGTATCCGTAGACCTTTGGCATATTGAGTTAACACCATCATCAAAGGGGCAATAATCTGAGAATTGAACTTACTTTCATTCACAATGGCCTTTGAATACTTCATTTGCTTTAAAGACTCGTAGGTCAGAGGTCCATCATAGTTCGAAACTTCATTCTGAAGCCGCCTCCACACTTCAGGGTGTCTTGCCAAGTGAAAGAAGATGTTTTCAACAGCAATCGCAGTTTGATCTCCTGCAGTAATAAAGATATTCAGCAACTGCAAGCGAAGAGAAATGCGGTCTTGTGTCGTTTTAAATGGCTCATCTAAAAGAACAATTCGTCTGTTTGGGCTTGGAGAATTGGTAGGACTGGAAGTTTTTTTCGCCTTTGCTGCCTCTTCTATCGCTCTTTCGATTTGCTGGTCGACAAATATGTAAACCTCGTCACGAGCCTTCTTCCAAAACTTGTCTAGGCTTTGCAGAAAAGCAAACTTTCCCAAAGCGACCCGCAGGCCGATGCCTTGCAAGACTGTGTCAAAAGCTGCGAGAAACTTCTCGGTGTCAAATTGACCTTTTCCTGGTTTTAAAGTATCGATCGAATTACCAAAGATCGATTCCGTGGAGCTTTCGAGAAACTATGTGTGTCAGTTAGATTAACCGAATTCTTACTCTAGGGGCATCATACAAGTCGTTTTAACAAAGGGCAACAAGTCCACAGTAGTACCATCATGCGGTATCATAGCAAGTAAGATATACATACGCTCTTCGAGGACGTCTAGATTCGATACTTGTGCCCTTGCAAAGATGGGTTTCGAGGCAAGGTGAGCTTGTTTTCATGATGAACCATCTGTGTTGAGAATTCCTCGTCCTAAGCATTTTGTTGCATGTAGCCTAGAAGGCTCTACTATAAATTTCTTCTGTGACGTAACGAGGATGATGTGTATGTTTTCTGTATTCATTGTGTAGATGGCCTTCTAGCCCCAACTGTTGGCTTTGAAGGTCTTGCCATACTTATCAAACAAGGATTTGAAAAAAAAAGCAAAGTTGTATTCATTCGAGAAACTGTTCACTACGCTCAAGAATAAATCGATGCCCCAAACAGGATCTTTGTGTGAGTAATGACGTGGCCTAGAACAGTTATGCTTCTGTCGAATTCGTTCCTCTCTTCTGCCCTGAACCAGCTTGCTAAGCAAATGAAGAACGATGATGGCAACTACAATGCATGAAAAGTACCGTTGTTGAATTCCATGTTTTGTACCGAAGATTGACTCATGTATAATTCTTCGAGATAAGGAGGCACATTGGTCGGTATTTGATTTTTGTGTCAGAAACCGTTTAAAAAATACCAAGTATGGATAGTGGACTTGAAAACCCAAACGAACAGATTTTTAGCATTCCGTAGGAAGTAAGACCACCTCTATGTACTCAGATATAGTAGCGGCCCCGTGGAGTTTTGTCTCCCAGTCTCTTTTTCTGCTCGCCGTACTGAAATGGTCATAACACCGATCCAACTGTTTTATAAATGAGTCGTTCAGGACCAAACCACTCAGAATTACTGACTATGCGCACTGTACTTTTCCTAATGAAGGACTGCACGAAAATTGGTAGGAAAGTATGAATATACTGTGGCAAGTTGGTGACATACTTCATTTGGAAGAGTCCAATGATTGAACTCACTGCACCAACACTATCCAGCACTATCCAACATCACCAACACCCCCCATCATTGATTGCATTGCAATATTGCTGCAACAACTCTGCAAGGGTTCTAATTTCAAAAGTGGAATACTACGGAACGATCATCGCAGTTTTTATTTGCATCATATTTTACACTGATATACATATCAAAAAATCTTGCTACCCATTTTCAGGTATACCAATCCTATATAAATCCGGCATAATGGCATTTAGCTGCCTCTCATCTGGCTGCCATCTTTCTCTTATGTCTCTCCATACCTCCGTTGCCCTCGCCGGACCAGAACATGTCGCGAAAGCCTTGAGCACATTCGTTACGATCCAAGTAGACATGTATATACCTTCTACACCTTGGTCGAGAGCTTTCAAATATGCTTTCCACACACTTTCCAATCTGGCACCCGTCCACTTCGTGTATCTAGTACCACCATGAATACAGAATCCCTTGAAAAGAGAGAGGAAAAGTGCACCGTGCAAGGGAACGTTGAAAAGGCCCATTTCTTCTAAAAACTTGGCCGCTTTGTCTAGTTCGCCTTCTGTAACTGCAAAATGATTGACCAACAACCTATACGTTTGAATATCCGGACAAACAATCGAGCTCTGCTGAGCTTTCGCTCGGCCTTCTGGATCATGCTTGAATTCCAACGCCATTCGTAACAACGCGCGCTTGACTTCTCTGCGATTCTTGAAATGTCTGTGCCATTCCTGTGTGCCCGAACGTTCCGCGTGCATGATTTTCATTCGCTCATAGATATTTAGCGCAGCACTGGGCTCATATGACTTAATAAGAGCCGAGATCATTGCGTTGAGAACAACGGTATCGACAATTTCTCCAGCGTTGACCAACGCTGCATACGCTGCTCGCGCTCCATCACCGTCGCTTTTCAGACCACAAGTAAATATCATGCTGACATAATGAAATCGGTTGTACTCGAGGCCCCTGGCTATCATTTCCTTGTATATCATTTCGCCAAGGGTAAATTTGCCGGCTTTGCATGCGACATCATAAAGAACATTGAATGTTGCATAATTGCCTCTGACACCTGCGATGTGCTCCATTTCTCTCCACAGTTTCAAAGCACTTTCGACCTCTACATCTGTGGCCTTGGCAACGTATTTGGAAGCAAAAGAAATGGCACTTGTCCATTCCGAAACGCTTAAAGGAATAGCTGTTGATTTCATATCATCGACAACCGAGAAGTACCTGAGCATCGAGTGCTCGTCCTTCCTTTCTACGATACTCAAGTGGCGAAGTAACATGTGTCTTAAGTTGGCTTCTAAATAAGGAACTCGAGGTTCTGGCAGTTCACGGTAGATTTGATATACATCTTCCGCCTCATGGGAGTAGAAATTCTTCAGTGCGGATTCCAGCTCTTTGAGCTTCTCTTTCGTTTCGTCATCGGCCGGCCATGCCTGATGAGGGGGTGGCCATTCATCTTCCTCTTCATCCGAAACTTGTAGGTGGGGAGCGTAACCGGGCTGGCGGAGGTCTGGAGATTCCATGACGGGTAATTGATGTGTATACGAAGTCCCATGGTACTGATCCACAAGCTCCATGAGCTCCTCTCGAGTCTGATTTGCCTCATTCGTGATCTTCTTATCGTCCACCGCAGATTGTGTATTATATGTATAATTTCGTCCCCGCGTATTGAATTTGGTCGACCGCAGATCCTTCGTAGATATGTTAGGTCTGTGAGAAGTGAAAAAGGTTACCGGCTGTAAAGGCTTCGGGGTGTGTTTGTGGCAATGGCCTGCACTGGCAAGTGAGGAAATAAACCATGCTTCGAGTCCGGCTGTACATGAGACCATTTGTATAGGTTTCCTGAGATGACTTCGTCGGGAAGGCTTTGTGGAAGCTTTTGGAATGTCAATTGGATATAAAAAGGAAAGAGCTTGTCGAGGGGCTGCTAGCTTCGAGATGAGGGTGCTGCTCGTCGAGGAGGAGATACAAGAGGAGGACATGAGCCGACTGACATTTTGAGTTTTTGTCAACGTCTCTGAAAAGTCATTGGAGCCAGGCCAGCCCTCCTGTCCTTATCTGCCGTTGTGGTTGACTTGGGAGCTTGTGGGGGGTTGAGGATTGATATGTTGAAAACTTTAGGACTTATCGCCAAAATTTTGGAAATTTTGGCGGAGATTGCCGCCAGGCTTCAAAAACCTATCAATATTTGCGACCCAGAACACCACCACCCCCGCAATATTGTTCATAGATTACTTTGAGATCGTAAGTTCGACATTTTGATTGAGTGAAATAGATCCTAACATTTCGAAAGTTCTGCGAGTATGAGGGGCCTCAATTTAAAGCCATCGCGCGTTTACCAAACGGCATCGGCATTACTCGCATCTGAAAGTATTTCCCAAGCACCACCATGGTATAAGACAATCGGCTCAGTACCCCCTTCTGAAATCCTTACACGGACGCAACCTGTTCAACACCGAGGAAGCAATGGCAGACCTAGGACGAAAAAAGCTAGCAAGCTATTCAAACCACAAACTATTGTATACGAGGAAGATCGAATAAGACAAGAATTCTTCCGTGATCATCCATGGGAGTTAGCAAGACCTAGAGTCGTGCTGGAGGACGATGGACGTGATGGGCAAAGATGTGATTGGAGTAGAATAGCACAGCCAGGAAGGCCTTTGACCGGTGAAAGGTAAAATTAATTCTCAGGGTATTGCGGCGTTTGGTTAACATTTCGACAGTGTGGTACAGAGGCAGCTTTGGCTGATACACAACACGCAAATGTCTAATAGTGAGGCTTACGATATAGCACGGAAGGAATTCTATGCTCTTCGTCAGGAAGAGGAGATCGAACGAAGGATTGCGAAAGAAGAAGCAGAATACGTCGGTGCATACTTTCATAAGGGTGCTTTGGAGGTTGGAATGGAGCTGGAAGATAAGAGTTACGAGGACTGGAAGGCATGGGCTACGAAGGAAGTCGAGGCTGCGAACTTGCAACAACAAGGAGCATACACTGGCGTTGGCACCGAAAGTGAGGATGCTGCCCTTCTGGATGATGCAGAGGCTGTTGAAGAGCCGGCAACAGCTGCCGCATGAAAATGCTCAATCTTACCAAAGGCATGTACAACAGCATTATAAGGGCAAAATTGGCGTTAATGAGCATGAAATTTACCGGATGATGCTGGACTATAGTTTCAAAGGATTTATCAAAGATTATTGATAGATGCGGTAGGGCTAGTAGGTCACTGATATTCCCTTGTGTGGTGATTGTCTAGACCAGCTATACTGTTCAGAATTGAGATTCCTCAACTTGGAGGGATAGCATATTACTGATGGTAGTTTGGCGTTCTGCTAGTGTACCAAGAAGCCCCTCCATTCCACCCTCTTCTGAGCATTTTCGCCATTTATCTGTTTAGCAAGGCCTTCCCATTGAACGAGGAATCGATCATAAATACCTAGCCATAACAAAACTTTACCACTTAAACTTAATGTCTTTACCCTTGCCCAGCTTTCCACGTATATCGTTTGCATTTTCCATATTGGGGCCACCCCAAGAAATTTCAACAGGAAGCTTGCCATGACCACAAGAACAGCAGTAGCAGGACCATTCGTTATGATGATATCTGGATATTGCTGGTGTATTGTACTGGCCATCGAAATTTTGTGTAGTGCTTTGAGACATCCCAGCATACACCAGAAGGATGATATGGGCGCAGTGTAAAGTGGTTGATGTATCTCCCTCGCTCTTGGAACAACCATGAGATCCCAGACCCCCGTGGTAGCATCAAGCTCGCCAGATTTGGTACATGGTGAAGAAGGTCGAAGCCTCGATTGTATACGCTCCTCGCAATCTTGAGCCTTGGTAGAAGAAAAGTTATCTCCCGCAGATATAATATAAGTCCGGTGTTTGTATCTTGCCGCGTCTGTATCGCGAAGAAGAGATACCATCTCTGCAGTATGACCACCAGAACCAAGAACTACCACCATATGAGAAGGCTCATCTTTACTTTTGACTGGAGGTCGTCGAGAATTTGGGGAGAACAGATAGAGAAGTCGAAGCTACATTGTTTCAAATCAGTGCATCGTTCTAGAATATTGGACATGATCTTACAAAGGCAGTGGTGATAATAATCAAGGTTGCTGCTGTGATCAGAGACAAGGCTGAAAGGTAAACCATGGT